CACACACACACACACTCACACACACACACACTCACACACACACACACACACACACACACACACACACAAAAAAAAAACACACACACACACACACTCTCTCTCTCACACACACAAACACACACACACACACACACGTTCCCGTAGTTTCTGAGAAGCCTCAGAGCAGTGTTTCTATAAAGTATGTCTACGTTATAGAACAATAAATAGTATGCCGAGTTCACGTTGCCAAGGAGGGGCATACCAAAAGTTTTTTACCTGACCATGAAGGAATAAAGGTAGAAAGCTGAATTTTGGTAAAGTACTAACCTTAATCTTTGTCTGTGTAGTCGCCTCCCACAGTTATACATTTTTGCCATCGTTGTATGACCTTGAAAAGACCTTGAGAATAGAAGACCCTCTCTTTGTCAGAAAACCAGTCCTCTCTATCTCTTTTTTGACCTCATCTGCCTTCCCTTTAATTCCCTTTTCAGTTTAGGGAATAAAATAAAGTCGGGCGGGGTTAAATCTGGAGAATAGGGTGAATGTGTCAAATGTTATAGCCACTTTCGGGCGCAGTTTCTGCTGCTTTTCTTGAAGTGTGTGCTGGCGCCTAGTCGTGAAGCAGCAAAACGCCTTACCGGATCTTTCCTCTGCGTTTTTCTTTTAAAGCATCTTGTATATTTTTTACCTGGTTACAAAATAATGGTCTCCGGTGATCGTATTTTCATTTTCAAGATAGTCTGTCATAATCACTCCTTCTTGGTCCCCAAAAAATTGATAGCATCACTTTCCCACTTGATGGCTGCACCTTTGCATTTTTTGGTGTTGGAGACGAGAGCGATTTCTACTGCATTGATGCAGATTTTGACTCAGGATCCAGTGTGGACCTATGTGTCATCCATGGTTAAAAGTCTTTCAAAAAATTTAGTTTTATCCTTTTCATACAGACCGTGCAGAGAACACACGTTTTTTTAATTTTCAACCAATTCTGTTCTGTTGTTGCTGTCACTGGGTGACCATCACGGTGGTCATCTTCAATGTCCACGAATCCACATTTGAAATTTGTACACCAAAATTTTTATCACCGCATAGAT